TAAAATAGTTTGTAAACAAAAAAAAAAAACGCTTTTGACCTAAAGGGACTCTTTTGGACGCCTTTTGGACTCCATGGACATTTCTCAGTTTCCAGGCAGAAAGAACAGTAAAAATGCAAGCAGGGCACAGGACAAAGCACTCGGGACAAAACGTATGTGAAATGGTTTGATACAGTAATGGAATACTATCAGATTTTAGTGTATTGAGTTAAATCAAGGAATGCGCTAAAACCACAAACTATTCCTAATTTAGTGTAGAAACATTAGTGCAAAAGATATATATATCTATTATCAATTAATATCAAAAAATATCAAAATTATGTGCAAAACATAAGTAATTTAAATAATTACATTTGTGAATATAAAAAAAACAAAAATGTCCAATTCTGAATTTCTTCAAATGTCCAAATAAATCCTTTCCAAATTCAGGTGCTCTCAAAGAAATTGTGCCAAAATCCACCACCAAAAGTAAAGTTGGGTAACTCACCAGAGCTCCATGCTGATCAATCTCTAGATCAGCAAAAAACGCTTTTTGCTCTGGGAGCAGATGCAATGAATCAACTTCTCAGGTGTGATGATCAATAGCTACACATTCATCCATAAGGTAGGTATCCACCACTCAATATAATGGTTCCAGGAGCATTATATCACTCTCTCTTTTTATATCTCTCCACCGAGGTCATGTTTGGGAATGAAAGAGAAAAATCATGGTGCAGCCAGTTTTTTTATAAAAGTATCCAACAATTTAATAAAGATTTACACTCACAAAAAGGGTGTCTTCACCGACACCAGTATAACAGCATAAAACAGCAAATGGTATAACAGTCTCCTGTTCCCCGTACACTCACTACAGCGCTTGTGACTTAATTTTCTCCACAAACGTCAGCATCCAGTAAGCCCAGTAGGGCTTACTGGATGCTGACGTTTGTGGAGAAAATTAAGTCACGAGCGCTGTAGTGAGTGTACGGGGAACAGGAGACTGTTATACCATTTGCTGTTTTATGCTGTTATACTGGTGTCGGTGAAGACACCCTTTTTGTGAGTGTAAATCTTTATTAAATTGTTGGATACTTTTATAAAAAAACTGGCTGCACCATGATTTTTCTCTTTCATTCCCAAACATGACCTCGGTGGAGAGATATAAAAAGAGAGAGTGATATAATGCTCCTGGAACCATTATATTGAGTGGTGGATACCTACCTTATGGATGAATGTGTAGCTATTGATCATCACACCTGAGAAGTTGATTCATTGCATCTGCTCCCAGAGCAAAAAGCGTTTTTTGCTGATCTAGAGATTGATCAGCATGGAGCTCTGGTGAGTTACCCAACTTTACTTTTGGTGGTGGATTTTGGCACAATTTCTTTGAGAGCACCTGAATTTGGAAAGGATTTATTTGGACATTTGAAGAAATTCAGAATTGGACATTTTTTTTTTTTTTATATTCACAAATTTAATTATTTAAATTACTTATGTTTTGCACATAATTTTGATATTTTTTGATATTAATTGATAATAGATATATATATCTTTTGCACTAATGTTTCTACACTAAATTAGGAATAGTTTGTGGTTTTAGCGCATTCCTTGATTTAAGTTATAGCACTAAGAAATTTATTTGGTTTCTTTGAGGTGGAATTGCTGCTTTAAAGTATTAAGGGTGTGGCGCTTTTATTACACTTGTGATATTTTAGTGTATTGAGTGAATGTAAAATTTTTACATTTTTTAAATTCCCGCCGGTTCCGTTCCCGTACGTCCCAACGCTCGCAGGGAACAGAACCCGGAAGACGGATGCCGGCATCGGCCAGAGGACATGGCCTGGGAAGCTGCAGGGGGGACATCGCGGGAGCGCAGGAAAGGTGAGTGCTCAAGGGATCGCTGGAGAAGCGCTGCAGTGTAATCCCGAATGTAACTCAGGGTTACCACTTCTGGTACTGAAAGTTAACCCACGAGCTACACTCAGGAATACCACCAAGGGGGTTAGTAAACACACATTTACCTGTCCTGGAGTCCAGCGATGTTCTCACCCCGCGCCGCCCCTTCTCTCCTTTCCTCCACGGTGCCGGCATCTCAACTGTGGGCACCAGGCTGTGACAACTTACGGCTTCACAGCCGGGTGCCCACTGTGCATGTGCAAGTCGTGCTGTGCCTTCTGATTGGTCCAGCAGTCTTCTGGGATCTGTGAAGGTTCCCAGGAGACTGTGGGAGGGAAAAGGGGGCCAAACTTCTGGCTCACTTTGCTTTGTTTACTGAACCGGAAGTGGGAGCGGGTACCTGTCAAAACCACGTACCCGCTCCCCCCCATCCCCCCAAAAAAGTGCCAGTGGAGGGGGGAGGAGCCAGACAAGTGGAGCTTCCAATTTTGATTGGAACTCCGCTTTAATTGAACAAGCTGAAGTTAGAAGCTGATTGGCTATCATTCAGAGCTGCACCAGATTTTGTACTCTCCAGTTTTAGTAAATCTCCTCCGTAGTGACTTTGTACAAGATCCGCTGATTCAACAGACATATAATGAAGAATGAATGCACTGTCATACTCTGACTACTTGTTAGGGAATAAAATCACAGAGCTGCTTCCTCAAAGATCCACACCCTCTGGAAAGGAGAGCAGTTTTGCAATGTTTAGTTGGCATCACATTTACACCAGTAGCCTGCTTTGACCTCTCTCTCCTCATTTGACTTGGTGGTTGTCCAAGTCGTTTTCCTCAATCAGGGACACAATTTAATGTCCTTGCAATAAGGGCCACATCCTTCTCCATGAATTCTCCTTGTTTTGATGGTTAAATCATTGAATGCATTGGTTTATATATCAAGTAAATGAGCCTAGGCAATGATTTACATCCCGGGATTGTGTGGACAGAATATATTTTTTAAAAAGTTCCAAATAGGTGATGTACATTTAAGCCGGCCATGCACGGGTTGATTTCTGAAAGAATTTTCTTTAGAAAATTTTCGCTTGAATTTCGCACCATTAGAGGGTTACCAGAAACAGCCAGTTTTCATGTGACCATTGAGTTTGAGTGATCGGGCATGTTGGAAATGTTTTGAATAACGAACGAGTTTCGCATCAATGATGGGAGAATCGTGCGGGAAATATAAACGAAAAAGAAATGAGCATGAGCTGTGACCTGGAAAGAAAAGAAAATTCTTGACCACGAAAGTTCTTTTCTGTAGCAACACGAGGTAAAATTAAAGGCTTGGTTGGTTGAATTTCAAAATCAACAGTGGCACCATCGGATTGCAAAATGCATGAAATGTCAGATTTTCTAACGAAAATGTGTTTGGAATTCGACCCGTGTATGGCCTGCATTAGACTAGAATTTTAAAAGTTAGCCATCTTTTTTCAAGAATTTTAGCATACATTTACACTTTTTGTGGTTTGTACCAATGTGCAAAGAAGGTGAAAAAAAAGTCTAGGGAGGGGCCTTACAAGCTGACGTCACGCTGCCAAGTCCGAGGTTCAGATCGGCGGCCATCTGTGTAAGTCCGGCCGCATTTGCCTTTTATTCCACGGAGTTTATGTTTGCAATTTTAACTATTTGAATGCATGTAATAAATAATACACTATATACCCTATTTTGGGTTCCGTGTGGTGAGCTATTCCTTGACAGGGCTCACTTCAGGCAGTGATTCTGAAACACGCGGAGGAGCACTGAAGAGTGACTTGGGGAGTTTTCCTGCTGGTTGGAGTGTATGATTAGACTCTACATTGTTTAGTTTCTGGTGAGTGCATATTGGTGAATGATTTGCATGGAAGACGTATTGTACTTCGTTCATTATATTGCAGTGCACCAGAAGTGGAGTTTTCAATGTATTATTTTTATGTTTTAGACAATTTATGGACTGATATGTACTATTGCACAGACACTTTTTCAATTCCACTTTAGTGGTTTATTTATCGCTATTAATTTGAAATTCTTTACTGTTATTTTTTTATTGGTGTGGATTATATATGGACTGGCTGTATTCACTTGAGTATAAACATATTTATTTATTGTATATATTTCTATGTGCACTAGGTTTCTTTGTTGATGCATTTTATCCGCGCTGCACACCTTTTTATTGCATTTAATTGCACTCGCTGTTTTCTTTGGTTTTCTGCTAAAAAAAATAGTCTGTTAGTTTCATAAGGAATCAAAAACTAGGTATCGTATGTGTTTTCTGGAGAAAGTTAAGTATCAGGCAACAATATACAGTATGTGTAAGGCTATATATATATTATTTATTTATTTCAGGTACTTATATAGCGCCATCAATTTACGCAGCGCTATACATACATTGTATATTAATATCAGTCCCTAACCCTCAAGGGCGTACAATCTAAAGTCCCTAACTTACATTCATATATACACATACTAGAGTCATTTAGACAGGAGCAAATTTACCTACCTGCATGTCTTTAGATTGTGGGAGGAAACCGGAGTACTCAGAGGAAACCCACACAGACAGAGGGAGAACATGCAAACACCTGGCAGGTGGTGCCATGGTTGGGATTCGAACCAGTGACCCTAGTACTGCCAGGTGGAAATGCTAAGCATTTTTTTTTTTTTTTAACATTTTGGCAAATATATAGATAAAAATGTGGGTTAAAGCCTTGCAAATCTATGAATTTGTTAGTCTCCATTGCAAGGATTCTGGTGACATGTCTCCTATAGGGTGATGGATAGTGTGATGGGAGCATAGTGTGAGACTGAGAAGATGTAGCCTACGTAAGACAAATGGATCTTGGGTAGATCTTATTGATGGACTAAAAAATTACGAGATGTAAAAAGGTGAAAGGCTGATGTACGGTATCATGTCCACAGTCTCTGACAATCTTCTGTAGCTTTTCATATTCGGAATATTATATGCAGCTTTTGGTGATGTCAGGGGCTGTACTTCAGGATACTTATTTAAAGCAAGTGGACCACCGTGGGCAGGGGTGGACGGACCATTTGGAAACTCAGGCACTGCCCGAGGGCCCGGGGCCAGTAGGGGGCCCCATGAGATGCCCCTGGTACCTTTTTCATAGGCTTTTTTGAGTTTGGGCAAGGACACAGGGGCCCCATGATCCCCTATTGCCCGGGGGCCCCATGAGTTGTCAGTCCGCCCCTGACCGTGAGTTTAGGGGTGCAATCAAGATGCATTACAGGCCACCCCTCTAATGGGAGCCAAATGTGAAATTTGCTATAGAGACTTATGTTCTTTCTGATCTCACCTCTGATATTAAATAGGTCATCATTTATACAATGACACAAGTGCTCTTTGTTTTTCTGTATTAACTGCTGATTTAACACACTATGCAGTTATTGTTCGTTCCCCTGACTATTAAAAGATTGGGAAATATATATTAACTTGCTGCTCTCTATTCTGTATGCATAGCTCCCAACCATCATCCATTTGGGAGGAACTGTCCCTCTTTGTTCCCCATTTATCTCTTTATAGTCTTATTTATAGACCTCTATTAAAAATGTATTTTAATTACCAAATGTATTACACTGAGCCTTTCACCCAACCTCTAAATTGCTGCATTTGTTGTATTGAAAAGCTAATAAAAAAGGAAAAGTAGTTGTAAAAACTTGGATTTAACAAATTATTTTTTGCTTAGTAATTCTTCATGGACCACATAGCTAGGGTGTGGCAGGGTTGTGTCCCTACAGGAGGGGGGCGGAGACAAGACCAGTCACCCAGCACAAGGAGAGAGAGCAGCAGTGACCAGTCTTTAGAAAGAGAGAAACCCATTGCGCTGCCAAAAAACTAACTCAAAGAAGAAAATGAAGTAGCTGCTAACACCCGACTATAAACAAATAGTGAACGGCAATAAGTGAGAAAATGGTGCTGCGCTACTACGGCTAAACAAACAATAACATAAAAATGATAATAAATGAGAGAATACTCACAAAATAAAGGATAAATGGAATACTTCACATACAACCAGTGCCAAAAAGTGCACAATAATAACTTAGGGAGTGAATCCACAGTGGTGTAACAAATGAAAACGGCGTGATCATAACAGAAAGAAGCAAATGTCAGTGATTAAGTGATGTACAAAAAAACACTGTCAAAGTCAATATAGAGTGGTATAAGGAAATGACACAGAATAAATGTGGCCCAAACAAACTATTTCCACTGTGTTTCAGCAGCAACATGGAAACTTCCATTTACAGCATGGTCATACCTGCGTGTTAAAGCCCCATAGACATCTGTAAATGGTTGTCTCCCTTTATCTCCCTTTGTCTCCAGCCCTGGAACACAGCTCCATTGAAGTCTGTGGGGCTGCAATGCACAGGTGAGAGAGTGAGATCTATAGCACTGAATGTAAACACTCACCCAAGGCTGGAGACTAAAGGAGACAACTGGAAACAGCCCTATAGAAGTCTACGGGGCTGTAGTGTGCAGGCTCGGCCAGGGGAGCGTGACTTGCGGTGCTGGATGTAAACAATCACACAAGACCAGAGACTAAAGGGACACATTGGGAAACAGCTCTTTAAAGGTCTATAGGGTTGTATTGTGCAGGCTCGGCCAGGGGAATGTGCCTTGTGGTGCTGAATGTAAACAATCACCCAAGACCAGAGACTAAGGGAGACATTGGGGCACAACTCTATAAAGGTCTATAGGGCTGTATTGTGCAGGCTCAGCCAGGGGAGTGTGCCTTGTGGTGCTGAATGTAAACAATCACCCAAGACCAGAGACTAAGGGAGACATTGGGACACAACTCTATAAAGGTCTATAGGGCTGTATTGTGCAGGCTCGGCCAGGGAATGTGCCTTGCAGTGCTGAATGTAAACAATCACCCAAGACCAGAGACTAAGGGAGACATTGGGACACAACTCTATAAAGGTCTATAGGGCTGTATTGTGCAGGCTCAGCCAGGGGAGTGTGCCTTGTGGTGCTGAATGTAAACAATCACCCAAGACCAGAGACTAAGGGAGACATTGGGACACAACTCTATAAAGGTCTATAGGGCTGTATTGTGCAGGCTCGGCCAGGGAATGTGCCTTGCAGTGCTGAATGTAAACAATCACCCAAGACCAGAGACTAAGGGAGACATTGGGACACAACTCTATAAAGGTCTATAAGGCTGTAATGTTTAGGTTCAGCCAGGGGAGTGACTTGTGGAACTGGATGTAACCAATCACCCAAGGTCAGAGACTAATTGAAACAGCAGGAAACAACCCTATAGAAGTCTATGATACTGTAATGTGCATGCTTAGCCAGGAGACTTCAAGCGCTGAATGTAAACAATCACCTAAGGTTGAAGACTAAGGGAATGAGCAGGAAACAACCCTATAGAACTCTATGGTACTGTAATATGCAAGTTTGGCCAGGGGAGTGAGACTTTTAGTTCTGGATGTAAACAATTACCACAGACTAAAGATTAAAGTGGTTGTAAACCATTACATATTCCCAGTGAAGAGACTGGCCTCAGGTGATACACAGAGATGAAAAAAATCCCCCTTCATAAGTTGTACCTGTTTATTCTTCAGTCTTCTCTTCTCTACATCCATTCAAAGTCTATAATTTATAAAGCTTGTCTGAGAGTACAGAAAACAGGGGTGGAGAGCTGAAATTACACACTGCAGAGCGAGGGAGAGCTCATGGAGAGCTGATTGGAGGGAAGAGACCCCCCCCCCTTCACACAGCACACAGGAACAGAGCTGAGGCTGTCAATCTGCTGGAGGTCCCTCCCCTGTCACCTTTGTTCTTTTGGTGTCAGGAAAAGGTGTCAGAAGTAACTCATGCTGATAGCAGAGGAATGAAGCAGTAGACAGAATTTACACTTATGGCTCTTACTTGGGACAAGTAAACACTATAGAGGGATATGCTTTGTTCATATTTCATGTCTGAAGTTTACACAACTTTAAGGGAGACAGCCCTATAGGAGTCTATGGAGCCATAATGTGCAGGCTCAGCCAGGAGAGTCAGACTTGTGGCACTGGCTGTAAACAATCACCCAAGGCCAGAGACAAAGAAAGACAGCAAGAGACAACTCCATAAAAGTCTATGGGGCTGTAATGCAATGATGCAGCCAGGAAAGTGGCCCTGGATGTAACAATCGCCCATGTCCAGAGATGAAAGGAGATGGCAGCAGACATCCCTATAGAAGTCTATGAGGCTGTAATGCATAGGCTCAGCTAGGATATAAACAATGGTCGGAGGCCACAGCCATTGAATACATTAAATATATTTAAAAAATATTTTTCTTTTAAATAAATTCTTCAGATTTTTTTTTTACATATAAAAAAGTAATTTCTACATATATTTTTGCATATATTTGTAAATTCATTCCAAAAATTTAGATTTGTATTTTTAAAGACATACAGTATATTTGAAATGTATTTTTAAAAATATTTTTCATATGTTATGTAATAAAAACGCATTTCAACATATGCAGTGTATATATATATATATATTTATTGAAATATAATGAATATGGCCAAAATTGTAGTATTTCAAATATATGGCAATATATTTGGGATGAATATTTTTAAAATATATTTAAAATATATTTTTCTTCCATTTCGGTGGGGAGAGTGGTTTCAATTTGGCCAAGGAGCTTACAGTTAAAAAAATTTTAAAAGTACACTTTTCTTTTAACTAAATGACCATGTGCACAGACATACCTGGTCGTGCCCCTGGAGGAAGGAGGAGGAGTACTAATTCACAAATCTGTACATAGAACAAAATATCAGCCATTACGCTGTTCTGATTGAGAAAAGACATAGCAACCATATAAACAGTAGAAACAGCACCACATTGTGGCCAAACCTATCTTTACTCCCGTTTTTTGCACCAGAATTTAGGAGGATCTGTAGGCTAATGCCAATGACTGTAGAAGACGACTCAAGAGAAAACCCAAAAAATCCAGAGGAAAATATACTGCTACGGTAAGCAGTTTACTTGTGTGTTCTTTTTGTTTCTGGGTATAAAAATGTTTTGATCCTTGAACAGAGTAGAGAATGATTAAAAGTCTCAAGTTTTTTTCATATTTTTCTTTGTATTTTTTTTTGTATGTACTGAAGACCCAACAGGAAATGATAGGAAATCTCCCAAAAGTGAGAGGAAATTCTGTTAGACAGTTGTCACTGTAACAGGTGTCCCTATGAGAACATTTCTGTTCCGGGTCTGCTGACTACTGGAAATTAATGGATTCCACACTTCTGTTCTGGGTGGCAATGGTCATCAGGACAAACATTGTGAATCTAACACACAGTAATAAGAAAACTTCAAAACAACAAACACTTTACTCCTGCGCTAGGAAAGGACTCAGTAGACCCAATAGGAATGTTATGGAATTTTCTGGAATATGCACTGCTTGCTGCCCTCAACAGACCGGGGTGGTCCAAATACACTGGATACAAATGGAGAAACAGAAAAAGGGTGCACCGACCTAGTGCATTATCGTTTAAAATAATTTATTGAAGAAACAAAATAGATATCATACTCACAATGGACATATTAACACAGGCGTGTCAAACTGAACAAGATGTATGATCCAAACAACATCTGAGTCCATACAATGGAACCCTGGATGACCAACTGGCTAACGCATTTCGAGGACACAACCTCTTCCTCAGAGCCAACCTGAGGAAGAATATAACGAATCGAATATAGCAAAACGAATTTACTGAATCTAACGAATTTATCAAGCTATCAAATCAAACCACTGTAATATAAAGAAATAAGCTACTGTATGATAAATGAAACAAGCCATTGTAAGCAGTTATATGAAGAAGATTGAAGTTATTAAAGAAGTTAACTAAAGTATTCGGTGTGCTCTTTAAACCTACTGTATCCATAGAGCGGCATTGGAGGAATTACAGAGTAAAGTCAGTCTAATTAAACAAAGAAACAGCAATTGCATAATTTTTCTAATGCCACAGCGCACAAGGCACCAAAGGGTGCTGCGCCTGCCACAGTGGAACTATTACCCTCAGAGGTCAAGCAACAGCGCTCCTCAACTTGCACAGTAAAGAGTACACTAGAGAAACAGAGCGCCAGAATATACCGCCACTCGGAGACACCTCAGCGGAACAGTACAGGCCATAGCACGTGCGCATTAGTCAGAACTGCAACCGACTCTTAAAGTGGCAT